TCAAGGAACAGGGTACTAGTGCCTGTGGAACTGTTAGATCGAATGGAAGGGACTCCAGAAGAAATTAGACCAGCAAGGTTAAAGCTGAAGAAAGGTGATGATCCTGTTTATTACAGAAAAGGTAATATGCTTGTCTGCTCCTGGCATGATACTGCAAGGGTCAAGTTCCTCTCAACAATCAATAATAATGGTTACACTCTGAAATAAATTCGATCCAAGCAGTCAAAGACTGGATTTGGGGATGTGAAAAAGCCAAATGTGGCCTGCAATTATAATGCTTCAATGGGAGGAGTTGACTTGTTTGACCAGAAATGTACCAGCTATCCATATCGACACAAATGCAAAAAGTGGTACCACACAATTTATTACTTCATCAGAGAGGCAGCACTAGTCAACTCCTACATACTGTACACAACTGCCAACCCTAATTCAAAAATGGAGCCACATTCATTTAGGGGAAGGTAGCAACCAAACCCTGCACTTCTATTTCTCCGAATAAATTTGGAAGGAAAGGGAGGAGGTCGATGGATAACCCAGAGGATAGGGAGGAGCAACTGACAGGGCATCACATTCCAATGGCTTATCCAGATCCTAAATACAAGCCTAACTGTGTAGTGTGCAGTGAAAGCACTTCACATCCAAAGAAGAAGCAAACCAGACATGGATGCATGAATTTTAAGGATGGGAGGGGGCGATGCCTGCCCTATGTCTTCTAGACTGCTTCACGAAGTACTACACGTTCAAGCATTTCTCACATTAGAAGCAAAAAGGTAGTAACATTCTAACATTTGTAGTGCATATATGTGCATTTTAGGGTGATTTAGGGATTTTAAAATAATGTAATGCATTTCAAAATTGGCATTTCTCACTGGAAATTCTGGCACTGTAGACAACTTTCCATAGGAAAATTCAGCAGTGAAAGGGATAAAGTAGGTGGGAATGCATAAAACAGCATGGAATTAGTTTCATGCCAAACAAAAATGTTTTGAAAAAAAAACGTTTCGACAGATTTCAAAATGAACAACCACTTTTGAACAGCTAAATACTGATATACGACTTACCAGTTCCATTATAAGGTGATCACAAACTGCACATTTTTCAGCTGTCTGTTGAAAGCCTGAATACTAAAAGTCAAAATAAAACTTGATATTACATTTTTTTCTTACCCAAAAATCTAGCATTCCTATAATTGTAACTATTATTATTAAACTATACTACTTCAAATACTCATATAAATATACCAAATGTAACTGTTATTATTATTATTATATTATATAAGTACTAATACCAGATGCAATTCTGCAGGGTTCCCGAAAGGTGCTGTTTCAAGAGTAAATAAAATGAAAATTAAGTGTAACAAATATTTTTATTTCTTGTTTTTGAAGTTCATATGTCATGCTGTCTCGTAGCCTACAGAGTGCATAATTTTTCTCATGATTTGTGGCATGCACACATTTTATCGATGTCAGGACAGAACAAATTGCAGTGTTAAGCATCCCTTATGTGACATTATTTTAGTGTCTACCAACTGACTGATGGACAACACACTACTATATAGTGGTACGAGTGGTTAAAACAGATGACCCCTCTAGTTGGCCTTCGGCTCCCTTTTGAAAAATAAATATAATGGTTCTGTTTCCTGTTATATGTAAAATATAATCTACATGTACTGTGTGTAGTACTCACACTCACAGTCTGAAGAATAACCTCTGAAATATATATATATAACACAGGTACAGTACACATATTTTAAAGGATACATATACCTCTGTTAATTAGTGTAGTAATGTAATTATTATAAATATTTATGACTATCAACTAGTGACTAGTGGATGTCCTAGCATTATAAGTAATCTCGTTTTTTTAATTAAACACCTACAAATAAAAATCAAGTCTTATTCATAATGTAACAGACAAGTTTTACTGCTAATGTACAGATGTACTGCACTTACCAAGTAGTCCTCCTCACAGTAGACCTTGCCATGAACATTATAGAAAGCTTTGCCTCTTAAAGCTCGGCCTAGAAAATAAGAATCTCAAAATGCATTAACAATTACAAATTAACAAGAGATGCAAGTAGCTCACTGTGTGTTGCTACACAAATGTTTGCAAACTGCAACACATTCTGGGAGGTGAGCTTTAGCAAATGTATGTACATAGAATGAATTTCAAAATTCTCAGATTTTTAAAGGTTTTATTTTTTATATTATTATGTTAGTCAAATTTCAACTGTTAACTTAACAACAAATTTAAAATCTGCTCTGTAAAACCAGAATCAAATAAAATCTCTAAAGCTATTTTAGCTGCATATAAACAAATGTACTATAAAAACTACAATTTGTTTATATATCATATCAAATCATCTACACTAGTTTTATTACTTTCTGTGTTGTTTTGTAATGATTGAAGAATTTTTGGATAAGATTTTCCTTCAGACCAAGATACTTAAATTCAGTTGGGTTTAATTCAAACTTCTTAACACTAACTTTCATTACTTACTGAATCTCACTACTTCAGTATTTTAAAAGACTTGTTTAACACAGAGAATGGTCACAACAAAATATGACAGTGTTACCAGGACCTTGTCCCTGTAATGCACACAGCATTGAGAGTACAGCCATTATGAATGTCAAAATAAGACCTAGAGGAGACTTACAGTGGATAGACACAAAACATGTAGATAGCTATAAAAAAAATGGTGTAGAAAACTTAGTGCATACTGTACATTTGACATAGTCACCTAACCATAAAGAAAGCAAAACTGATCTACTAAAAAAAAAAAAGATAAAGAGAGAGGAGGAGAAGAAAATAGGTATATAGTGTACTTGTACAATAGCTTTGACATACTTATTAGCCACTGATTCGAGAAAATGAAATGCAGAGCAGAATATCACCATAAACTTAAACTGTATAGTGTACTTATATAGTCATTTGACCCAGTTACCTAGTCACAAGGCATGTAGGCAATAAAATATATAGGCAAGTTTTACTACAAAAAAAACTGCTGAACTAATTTTGAGGAATAATCATATTTAAATAGATTTGTCACACTAAGTGAGTGGAATAGGGAGCCAAAGGATTATGATAAAAATGTCTTGATGATAATGTATTTTCACACAAAGTTAATTATTCATAGCAATTACTTCCCAGTAAAATGTGACTGTGATTTTTATTCAAACCAGAAAAAAATGTCTCTTCTATGCCTACAGAAAATTTCAAATTATTAGAAACTTTTAGTAGCATTTTCTAATATAAATAAGAAATAGAATCAGTAAATAAATACAAAAAAAAGACCACTAATCAAATCTACAGGACAACTCTAATTCATGCAGTGTTGTAAAGTACAAATAACCACAATAAGACAGTTATGACATATGACATCATTCATTTTCTCATATCTAGCTCATATTCCACACTGGAATTAAAGAACAATTGACAGGACTTACCACAAGAACAACATATGAAACAATTGGTGTGGTATAAATTTCCCATAGCCTGACATGCCTGGCCAGCTCCCGTCACCTTCTCCCCACATGTATGGCAATACCCTGCAAGCACAACAACACAGTTATATATATACACATTATACTTTTTTACTAATAGATATACTAAAATTAATATATGCAATAAGTGCTTCAAATTTGAAAATCATAAGACAGCAATCATTCTCTCCTGAATCTTGCCAGGAGAGTGAAAGGATATTATGTGAAAGAGTGAAAGGATATTATGTCAATGAAGAGCATATAGGATGACATCAGAAGTTTGCTTATCACTAAATTGCAGGACTACAATTTCAGAAAATGCCTATGAATTATTCATGTTAATGTTGCACAGATAAAAATGATTATACACTAATCATTAAGTGGAAAATATTAAAGTCCGCTTTAGAACAAAAGTATAACAGATGAATATGAGTGTGTGCTTCTATAGTTGACAGTTAACGTGTGTTCATTTTCATTAACCACTGATGATTAATCTAATTGTGCCTGTGAGATAGTCATTTATGAACCCTGCTGACCCTTGGATACTTCTACTCAAGTTCATTTTACCCTTTCCACAGTCTGGTTTGTTCCTTAGTTTTATTTAAGTTTTTTTATGTGGAACAGTTTTTATTTTTGGCCTTTTCTCTGGAAAAATTATTTCATTATAAGTAGTATTGTTCTGAATTTCAAGTTTTTATTGAATAAATCTGCTTACAATGTCAAATAGACTTCATTTCAGTTTCTTTACTGAAATCATCTATTCTTACAGTTCAGACAGTTGTAGTCCATAAAAATTGGAAGCCAGTACTGTCTACTCAACTTAAAACTCCTCAAAAACAAGACCTTAGGAGCCATGTGCTGTAGTGTTGTTTTTAAAATGTAGTTATTTTCCTGTATTAACTATAGTGCTATCTATAATCAGACCTTTGATTTTGAGGCTTGTGTTCCTTATTTCAAGTTTGGGTTTGTGACCGACTGTATTTCTCAAAACAATGAATTCACTAATATAACTTTTTTGTGAAAAATTCAGATTAAACTTGTTCATATCATGAACGTATACCAGTCTGACTAGGAAATAAAATATTTGTTTATCAAAAGTTTCTACATGAACATTTTAACAATGCTTCCTTAAGTCATGTGGCTTAGTACTTAAGCATTATTTTGGGTAAGACGTTAAATAAGATGGCAGCCTGACCTTGATCAATGAAAAAGCAAATGGTTTTGGTATTTACATAATATATTTAAAAGTATTATGTATATGAATGACAATACTTAGGAGTGGAAATTGTATCACCTGACACCTGGGAGAACAAGTCATATCATCACACACTGTCTGTTGGAGGAGTAGTTTTGTTTTTCTTTTTCACACCATTCATTCTATTGCTAGAAAATAGTCTGGTTAGACCTCTAGGGAGCCATGCACATTTAAAAATGTATACCTCTAACCTCAAACCAAAACAAATATACAAAACCCTTTAATTCACAATCCCTCAGACATACACAAGCATATTTAAACTAATGGAACAATATTATTACATTGTGTTTACTTTACTTGGTTCATACTACATACAAAGTAAAATATATTAAACACCATTCTACTTTGTGCAGTATTCTCACACAGTCGTGATGATAAAATTCAAAGACTTATTAAGGCTTCAACTGCTGTTTTCCTAACAACAAACATTCATTAAGCTTTCGAAAACTTTCTTGTCCCACTAGCTGAAGAAAACAATTTTTTTTTGAACTAAACCTAGAGTTTTTCTCAAAATCCTTCAAACTTACACAATGCTTTTCACTTCCCATATGCAATCATAGTGCACTTTAACTATGTCGACCAGATCAATTACTTTGCTGCAAGTGGCACAAAAATGCTGTATAGTGACATCTTTTGTGTTCTCTGACACAACATTTTAACTTATTTTGGTCTAAATATTTCCTAATCCTATTGAATATGCATTTTCCCATGATGAAAGACAAGCTAATATAACTTTCAATTCATGAAAATAGATTTACATCAAACAACATATATCTTCAATACTGAATATACACATATAATAACATTTAATGCCATTTTCCTTACTCGCTGTTTTGTTTTACAACTGACACTTGCTGCATCACTCTGATGCTGGAAAATCACGAAGGTAAAATGGTTTTATGGTAGAGAAAACATTACAAACAAAAAACAAGCTTTTTGGAAACCACACAAGAGTTGCATGAATAGCTGCTCTAGCAAAGACGACTAATAACAGCAAACAACTTAGCAATTGATTAGACTCACAAAACTTCTAAGTAGCTCCATTATAATAAATCTAAAGGGCACATTATGATAGAAAGTTTATAGAATACTTTGATTTAAGGGTTTTTAAAGTAATTCTATTTAAATTCAAGAGATATTTAAGATTTTAAATAAATGTATAAAGTTAGTTTTTTTAGGTTTTCATAAGGTAATTTTTAATGGTTTTATTTAATAAATAGTCCACTTTTGATTTCATAGCATTTTATTTCTGTTGAAGCTGCAGAGACAAAAACTGATGTTATCAAAATGAACAAAATGTATATACATCTAAGCTCTTCGTGTGTATTTATTATTCAAATATTCACATACACCAAGTTTATCTATTTTGCATTGTAAAAAACATCTAACAGCTGGCAACAGTCAGAGAACTAGCAAAAAAGAATCTATATTTCAATGTTTCATAAATCACTTAAAAAATTATCCGTGTACAGTAACATTGTACTGTGTCTGCAAAATAATGGAATGGATTAAATGCAGATATTATGATAATCATTACAGATTTATATTTATAAGAATTATGCTAACAACTGAGTCATCATTTCATTTTATTACACTTTCTCAGTGTGTGTGAATCCCCAATTTTGATTTCACTTTCCACAGTTGAAAAAAAAAATTCCTATAAAAGTTATATTTTACTTTTCTGCATGTTTTATGGGACAAATAGGGGCCAAGTAGGTTTTTAAAAGAAATCAGTATATTTCTCCAGCATCCAGTCCTGGTAGGAGGGATACTGGGCAGCACACATTCGAGGACTTACTTAGCTTGATCAACACTGGACATACCAGAAATGCACATACAGAGGATGGTGGGGCAGAGAAATATTTCAGCCTGAGGGGCAAACTGCAATTATATATAGTTGTGACATGTGGAGTGTTTGAACCAAAACCTGGTGCCATCTGGAATTGTACATTAGATCTGCAGTAGAAAGGGTTTCATGCAATCTAAACATGATACTAATTGTGACCAGGCCATCTCCAACCAAAACCAGCCCTGCTGGGAATGTACATTCAGAGGATGGTAGGAAGGAGGAATGCCACGCTAGGAAAAAACAATTGGTCATATATATATATATATATATATAGGAATACGGTGTAGCACGACAACCAAAAACTAGCGCCATCTGGAATTGTATATCAGGTCCATGGTACAAAATGCAATATGCCACTGCCCTACTCTCAACTGAATGGTATCATTCACCACTTAGGAGGACAGGCCTCCATAGTTCACCACCCCAGCAACTAGTAACTGGTAAGTCGTAACAACTCCCATATTCCACTAGAAGAGGGGGGGGGGACATGTTGGAGAGTCCAGAGGACTACATCACCAGATACACAATGCAACAGTTGACCACAATACCCTATTTTGAAAAGCAGAGCTACCACATCAATGGAGTCAATCAACTAAAATCTGGTGGCATCTGGAATTATACATCAGGTCCACAGTATAAAAGATGTCATGCCACAGAGCATCAGAGATGGGCAGCAATCTCTGTCTGCTTTACTTATGCTAGTCCATGAGTGCATAGTCTGGGACAAACATATTTATGAAGCAAAAAACCATTAGAGAGAACTACTAGCACTCCTATGGAACACCCCATCTCTATATTTCAGAAATCCAAGGAACAATATAACAGACTTGGAGCTCCTACTAAAAGGAAACTAATTGTTAATAAATGACTTCCCTCATTCAAATCTGTCAACTGAATCAAAGTGACTGCCTTCTTACAAGTCCATCAATTTATAACAAATGACTGCCTCTTTTAAATCATTATTACCATTACCTTTTATTTTATGACTTAAAAATACTAATTAGTATGCAGACAAGTTTAATAAAAGTTATATAACTTAGGCTAAAGTGTTTATGGAATAAAAATGTGAGTTGTGTTGTTTGCAATGCAAATGAAAATCTCCACAAAATTTTAGAAAGATCGAATTATAAATGTGCTATACTTTACACGAACATATTTCTGAAATGTCTTTTAGCCAATTATCTAAGGAAAAGATAATCATATGTCATCAACAAATCACAAGCACAAGTTCATTACCTCATTATAAGATGCATGTATACTTCATTAAATTCTATATACAAAAAATAGATATGGTTCTAAGCTATTTATTGCTTTAAGATAGATTTACAGGTCAGTAAATTTATCCAAGTAAGATAAACATGTCCTTAAAAATCTATCACATGTGTGTCACCTAAATTTAAATATCTATAAAATGTGTCTCAAATCTGAGTTAAAATTGACAATGTAGAATTCATAACGTAAGGGCTAAAAACTTGAAAGTGAAATTGGAATCCTGAACATCTTGTTTTTAACAGTTATAGTTCCACTGGATAGTAATTAAACTGTAATGATTTGCCAATTAGAAATGCATGTTTTCATACTGGTATGTGTAATTCACATAAAAAACAATAATTAGAAATAAAAATGCAATTAAATATATTAGACAACAACAAAAATCCACTGGTACCCGTTCTAGAAAGAAATAATATCTAGTTAACTGTCATGCAATAAATACTGCAGGTGTACACCCTATAAAGAACAAAGAACATCATTAAGTACAATACAAACTACCTGGGTCACGCCTATTATTAGCCTGAATACCAAGTGTGTTATTGGAATTTAGGTTCAACACGCAATTTCACATTCACATTGACAAGTGTGGGTCAGTTATCGAGTCTCTTTATTTTTCTTTTTTTTTTTACATACTTCTGCTTAAACTAGTTTTATATTTATATATGTTGTCTCATTGTTATCTAACTTGGA